TGCCTCGATATAGCCCCGAAGATGCTCCAAGACTTTCCAAGACCGCTCCACGACGGGTCTAAGTGGCCAAAAGAGCTCCCCAATGACGCCCCGACCAAACCAGAATGCTTCAAACCCATAGGGAAAATCAATGTTTTTGGCGTTCTCGCTTTTGCACTTCCGATGCCCATCCGAGTCCTCAACATCGCTCCAAGATGGCCCAACAGGGGCCCAGTAAGGGACCAAAAGGGCCCCAAGACGGTCCCAAGAGCGCCCGAGAGCGCTCCAAGAACGCTCCAAGATGGGTCCAGGAGGCGATTTTGGGTGCTCCTAAGGGGGGGGGAGGGGGGGGGGGGGGGGGGGGGGCAATTGATGAATCAATCGTTGACCGATCTCCTCCAAGATGGCCCCAAGATGACCCCAAGAGGCCCCCAGGAGGCCCACAGGAGGCCCCCAAGAAGACCCTAAGCGGCCCCAAGAGGCCCCCCGAGGCACCCAAGACCCCGAAGAGCCCCACAGGATCGCCAAGAGACCCCTAAGACGTCCCAAGAGGCCACCAATAATCGCCCAAGAGATACCCCAAGAGGCCCCGAGAGGCATCCAAGAGACCTTTGGCCCTTGTGCTTGCCCTCCTCTTTCTCCTGTTCCTCCTTCCTGCTCCTACTCATTCTCTTCCTCCTCCTCCTCCTCCTCCTCCTCCGCCTCCTCCTCATCCTATTCATCCTCCTTCTTCCCACTCCCTCATCCATCCATCCATCCACCTCCTCCTTCTCTTCCTCAGTCCTTTGCACGGTTCGGCCGTCCTCCTCTTTGCTGCCGCACTTCCCTGATCACCTCAACTCGCCTGGACATCGTTTCTGGATGGGCTGGTGGGGATACGCGGAGCGTCTAGAATTCGACCCCCCCCCTTCCCACCTTTCGCCCCCCCCCCCCCTGGCTCAGGAACCCGACACCTACCACCCCTAACACGACTTCCCCGACCACCCGTACCCCCAACCCCAAACCCTAACCCCAAACAGTACTCGGTACATATTATTCACTACTCACTACCCACTACCCACTACTCGCTACCTCACTACTCACTTCCCACCACTCACTGCTTACAAATCACGACTCACTGCTCACTACCCACTACTCACTACTCACTAGCCAATACCCACTACTCACTACTCAGGATTCACTATTCATTACCCACTACTCACTACGCACTACTCACTAAGCACTACTCACTACTCACCACTCATTGACCACTACTCACTACCCATCAACCACTATCCACTACTCACTACTAAGTACTCAAAGTTCACTACTCACTACTCACTGCCCACAACTCACTACGAACTATCCGCTGCTCGCTACTCGCTACCCCCTACTCCCTACACAGTACTCACTGCTCACTACTCACTACTCGCTACTCCCTACTCGCTACTCGCTAACCGATACGCAATATCCACTACCCACTACGCACTACTCACAACCCGCTACTTCCGACTCCCTACTCACTCCCCACTAGTCACAACTCACTACTCAATACTCACTACCCACGACTCACTACTCACTACTCTCAACTCGCTACCGCCTAAGCACTACCCACTACTCACTACCCACTTGTCACTTCTCACTACTCAAGACCCCCTACTCGGTACTTACTACTCACTACTCTCTACTCACTACTCGCTACTCCCTACTCGCTACAGACTACTCCCTACTCACTATTCACTACTCCCTCCCCGCTACTCACAATACCCTACTCGCTACTCGCTACTCACTACTCGCTACTCAATACTCACTCCCCACCCCCCACGACCCATTACTCACTGCGCACTACTCACTACTCCCTCCTCGCTACTGGCTTCTGTCTACCCACTACTCACTACTGACCACTCTCTACTCACTACTCACGATGCACTACACGCTACTCACAGCTTACCACCCACTAATCAATACACACTACTCACAACTAACTACTCTCAGTAGTTACTACCCACAAGTCACTACGCACTACTCACTATTCACTGATCCCTAAGCACTACTCACTGGTCACTACGCACTACCAACTACCCAGTACCCAGTACTCACTACTCACTGCGCACCACTCACTACCAAATACCCACTACCCACTACTCACTTTTCAAAACACTCTACTCTTTACTCACTACCCACTACCCACTATCCACTATTCACGACTCACTTCTCACTAGTCTCTACTCGCCTCTCTTCTCACTACTCACTACTCGCAGATCGCTCCCACCACTCCAAAGAAAACACTACTCACTCCTCACTACTCACTACCCACTACCAAATTACTCACTACCCACTACCCAATACTCACGACTCACTAACCACTACCCACTATCCACTACCCACTGCACACAAGCCGTTCCTCGCTACTCCCTACTCCCTACTCGTAATTCCCTACTCGCTACTCAATACTTCACTACTCACTACGCACTACTCACTACTCGCTGCTCCCTACTCGCCACGCGTCCTCGTCCTCATCCTCCTGCTCCCCCTCCTCGTCCTCATCCTCATCATCATCATCATCATCAGCATCAGCATCAGCATCGGCAGCATCATCATCATCATCATCATCATCATCATCAGCAGCAGCAACAGCAGCAACATCAATATCAGCGTCAGCAGCATCGTCAATATGATCGTCGTCGTCGTCGCCTCCTCCTCCTCCTCCTCCTCCCCTTCCCCCTCCCCCTCCCCCTCTCGAAGCCTTCGTGAGGCCAGTCCGGGAAAGAATCGAAATATCCAGAAACCAGATAATCGAAAGATCTCGAGGCCGCAGCATCGTCAATCTGATCGTCGTCGTCGTCGCCTCCTCCTCCTCCTCCTCCTCCTCCTCCTCCTCCTCGTCCTCCTCCCCTTCCCCCTCCCCCTCCCCCCTCTCGAAGCCTTCGTGAGGCCAGTCCGGGAAAGAATCGAAATATCCAGAAACCAGATCATCGAAAGATCTCGAGGCCGGACACCCTCCCCCTTGCGGGAGAGGCCCCCTCCCCGGCCCCCTGTTCGGCGCAAAGGGGGAGAGGAGGGGGGGGGGGTCCGGACCCCCCCCCCTTCAGGGGGATGGGGGGGGGAAGGGGGGGTTCGGACCCCCACCCCCCTGAAGGGGGGAAGGGGGGGGTAAAAAATCTCCCCCCCCCCCCCTTTGAAGGGGGGGAAGGGGGTGGCGGGGTTCTGCGAGCACCCCCCCTTTTCAATTACAGGGTGATCCAGTGGCGCGCTTTACTTTTGTTGTTCGATCGAATACCCAGTGTTTGGTTATGCAACTTTTGATCAATATGCCTGTGTCTATTCAATATCTGGGTCCTTGGACCGCAGACCCCCACCCCCAGCAAAACCTCCTCGCCTCGCCTCACACCCTCCTGCCCCTCTCCCAGGAGGACGATGGACTGCTCTCCTCTCGCCTCGCCCCCGTCCACCCCGTTCATCTGCCCTGACCCTCCTGCCCCAGGACGACCGGGAGGCTGGAAATTTCACCAGCCCTCTGGGCGTGAGTGGTTTAGGGAGCTTCCTCTTCCAACCTCCGCTCTTCCCCTTCGTTGAGGGGTTTGCCCCTACCCCTGCCCCCTCCCCTTGGGGGGCGGCGAGAGGTTGGAGCGTCCAAGAGGGCATCGGCCAGAGGGCACACATCGTTGCTATTCCTCAGTTCTTGGGTCCAGTTTTGGCCTCCTGGGGGGGGGCTACTAGAGTACCCTCCCTTCTTTGATCGAACCCCTCCGAGATGGCCACATAATTGCTCCTAAGGCTCCCAAGAGTGCCTCGAGAGGGCCTCTAAGAGGCACCCAGGAGGTCCCAAGAAACTCCCAAGAGATCCCCAAGAGAGACCCCCAAGATGCCCAAAGAGGCTCCCCAGAGGCACCCAAAGACGCTCCAAGAGGCCAACGAGACCGCCAAGAGGCCCCCAAGACGCCCCAGTAGGACTCCAAGGAACCCTCAAAGACATCTGACGAGACTCCGAGAGGCATCCAAGAGGCGTTTGGCCTTTCTGCTCGCCTCCTCTTCTTCCTCCTCCTCCTCCTCGTCCTCCTCCTCCTGCTCCTCATGCTTTTGACGTTGCTCGGACCTGGAGCACGGGCTTGTGGCGTTCTCCTCCTCCTCCCTCTCCTCCACCGCCCTCCGCCTGGTGGGGTATGACGGCGTCCCCAGCCCTTTGTTCCACTGCATGCTGCTCCACATCGCTGATCAGGGCAACTCGCCTGGGCATCATTTCTGGATGGGCTAGTGTGTTTACGCGAAGCTTCTGGAATAAGAATAATTCAACATAGCGGCATGACCGTGTGTGAGACAACAAGATTAACCAGCAGGCCGAAAACGAATTGCCTTCTCAGAAACACTCAACACCTTGGAAAACATAGAGGATGGAGGGCGAGGGAGATGGTGGGGAAACAAACAAGCACCGATACCGCTACTTCCTGGACCTCTCCTGGGTGCCTTCTGCCAAGTCTCTCCAGGCGAATCTGGCCGTGGCGACGAGGGCCTCCCAGGAGGCCCCAAACAGGCGGAAACGAGGCAAGGGTCTCGGTATCGGCACCTCTTCCTCCTCTGATATGGGGGGAGTTGAGCAGAGACCGACCGTCCTGGCATTCCAATAGGCCTACCACGACATGTTCTCAGAACCCAAAGATAGTCGAATAACAATGTTCTTAGAACATGAGCCCCGTGCGTTAAAACACAACAGCCAGAACTGTTATGAGAACATTCCGTGGAAACCACAGAAAAGGTTCTCAAACATTGTCTGGTAGGCCTTTAGGCGAGCCAGGACGCTTCGCCACTGCTTGAGGGAGAGGGAGGGGGGGAATGCGGGGGCCCAAGGACACACAAAAAAATACACAGACAAACAGATTCCCAATATTTTCCCATACTTTGAGGGTTTTCGTCTCCCCCCCCCACTTCCCATATTTTCCTATATTTCCTGGGGAATCGACGATTCATTATGTCTGTGTGCTCCTTTCTCTCCTGAGGGAAGGGAGGCCGAAGAGCAGGACGGCCCTCTCCGGGGCCCCTGCGGCCTCCGTGCCAGCCCCATCCCAGCAGCGCCAGCCCCGCCAGCAGCGACGCTGCGGCGGCGCCGGCGTGCAGCAGCCACCCGCGCCCTGGCCGGAGCTCCAGGACTGCCTGGGCCGAGGGGCGCGGCCGACGCACGGCCACGCTCAGTCGGACTTGATTGGAGAGGACACGCGAGAGGACACAAGACCCTTCCTAGGGCCACGTTGCCAAATAAATGCAGGAGGCATGGGTCGCAAGACACAAGGCACGAAGGTACCCTTGATCTGGCAGGGTCGACCTACTAATCCGGGCCGCCCGTAGTGCCGACGGGACGGGGGGAGACCCAGAGACCGGACCGACCTCTCCGCCAGGGCTCGACCCCTGGCCTGTCGTAGATTGAAGGCAGGCTCTGGACCTCTGCGATTGGAGGTGCGGAGCTCCTTAGAGGTGGCAAGCATCAGATCACGACAGGGCAAACGTGCAGGACCCTGGTCACAAGACAACTGCGAAACATCGTGGACGTCGTATAGCCAAACTTGGTCATGAGGACCAATGAACCTCAGAACGTGTGTTGGAGCCGACGTGTACTTGTCCACCGAGTCCCTTTAATACGACGCAGGCACTGCAACGACGACCGACACGAAGGCCGCGTGCGATCGGTGGACTTGAACGGGGCGAACACACACACACACACACACACACGTTGGGCTAACACACGTCCTGAGGACGCGAGATCCTTGGACATCCTCATTGAACTGTTTGAAACGACGCACGGTAACAAACCCAGGGACGCAAGGGTACGCTGACCGTCCCCCTTCCTTGCCGGATGGACGTCATCGGGGCACATCGGGGATCTCTGAGATTCGGCGCTTCTGGAGGACGCATCCGCAGCCCGCGGCGGGGCCGACCCCTCACAACAACAACAGCAGCAGCAACAACAGCAACAACAACCAACCAAGCAAGCAACCAACACACCAACCAACTAACTAACCAACTAACCAACCAACTAACCAACCAACCACAACAACACCACCAACAACACCAGCAATGCCAACACCAACACCAACACTACCACCACCAACAGCAACAACAACACATACGACAAACAACAAAAAAAGTCAGCACCAACACAAACACCAGCAGCACCAACAACAAACACAAGAACACCACCACCACCACCAACAACTACTACATCAGCAACAACAACCGCAGCAACAACAACAACAACACCGCCACCACCACCACCAACAACACCAACACCAACAACACCAACACCAACACCAACAACAACAACAACAACAACAACACACCGGCGACGCCTCCTGGCGCGGGCATACACGGAGTAATCGAACTCGATTACTCCGTGTATCCGAGGCAGATTCTAATTGGATTCCTATTGGAACCTGTAGATTGGATACACGGAGTAATCGCACTCGATTACTCCGTGTACCCGAGGCAGATTCTAATTTGATTCCTAATGGAACCTGTATGTTGGATACACGGAGTAATCGAGTTCGATTACTCAGTGTATGCCAGCGCCAGCAAGCGTCGCTAGTAACAACAACAACAACAACAACAACAACAACAATCATTTTACCCGAACGCTCAGTGTTCTCACCAGTGCCAGGGTTTTCATGCGACGCGAGACAATACCCCCACTTCGTGGGGGGGCAGTTCAAGCTCTACCAAATATCCAAACGACTCTTCGCGACCACCCAAACCCAGCTTCCCGCCCTATGACGTTGGGACACTTCACTTCGTGGCGTGCGGACGACCGTGGCTACTACACTGGCGTGGGGTACACACCCACAGAACTTGGTCACTTATTCGGGGCGCGCGTGTGCCCAGCATCCTGCAATTGTGACATACAATACATGACACAGACAGACAGAGAGAGAGACAGAGAGCAGACAGAGAGAGAGACAGAGAGAGCGGAGTTGGTCACATTTTTGGGGCAAGTTCCTGAGATCGTCGTGTTTTTTGTTGGTCTTGCGCGCGCGAATGTCCACTTTACTTTTTTTTGCAAGGGAGTATTGAAATTTGATTATGTTAGAACAAGAAAAAGTAGCTCGCGCGAGCTCATGTAACAGAAATGTTGAAAAACCATTGGTTTTGTGGGAGTCGGACAGCGCGCGCGGGATGAAATTTGGACATTTTTTTTTGAAAAACCATTGGGTTTTTGATGTTTTTATGTTGAAATCGTTACGAAACCTAAGGTTCTGGAAGGATTTCGTCTTGCGCGCGCGAATGTCCACTTTACCTTATTTTTTGCAAGGGATTATTGAAATTTGATTATGTTAGAACAAGAAAAAGTAGCTCGCGCGAGCTCATGTAACATAAATGTTGAAAAACCATTGGTTTTGTGGGATTCGGACAGCGCGCGCGGAAGGACATTTTGACAATTTTTTCTTAAAAAACCATTGGGTTTTTGACGTTTTTATGTTAAAATCGTTACGAAACCTAAGGTTTTGGAAGGATTTCGTCTTGCGCGCACGAATGTCCACTTTACCTTATTTTTTGCAAGGGATTCTTGCAATTTGATCAAGTAAGAACAAGAATTTTCATTTTCTATTGTTTTTTGCAAGGGAAAACGAGCGTCAACAAAAAACCGGATCCGGACACAATCCACTTTTCTGAAGCTTTCGCGAAAAAATGATGAAAATGTAGCTGCGGCCTAGGCGCGGCGCAGAGGTCGCGCACCAGGGGTCCCAACAATAATTATTCTTAAGAAGAAATAATGTTCAACAACAACAACAACAACATCGGCGAATGCGGGTCGGGCTGTTTTACAGCTGGCTCTGGAAGACACCGCTCTGGTTCCTCACTCGCGCGACCCGGCGACAACGCGGCCTGCGACCCGCGCAAGTTGCTTCAATCACAAATCGACGCCAGCAGCGGGCCATCCACCCGAATAGCTCTCAACTGCCCAGGCGAAAGACCCAACCCTATTCCAGAGTACGCAGCTGCGAGTAACGCAGGCTATGGCCTCTTCTTCACAGGTAGTGCGCCGCGACCCAGAGACGGCATTCGAACACAGCCACTGGGGCCTTCGGTGAAGCTCCCCATGGGGCCACGAAACGTGTGAGGTCGTGTGCCGAAATGGGCGGGGGGACGCTATGCGACCGCGCCTACTGCGTGGAATAACTGTTCTTGGGCCCCAAACCCTGGATTCCCGGATCTCTTGGTCGCTCTTCGATTTCGCCGCGTTGCCGTTCCCCAGATCCTGGAAGCGCTCTTTGGGCGCCGAACCCTCACCATGCCCAAAGATGTTCACATGGCCCCGTTCTGGAGCCCTCTTCAGAACATCTCGGGCCGTCATGGAGAGGTCGGCTTCAACTCACAATGCCCAAACCACTGAAACAACATACGTACCGATCCTTTGATGATATGCTGCTTGGTCTGCACACCAGAGAAGGCTCCCAATGACCCCCCAAGTCTGTCCCCGAGGCTTCCACGAGAGCCCAAGAGACCACCAAGACGACCCCGAGAAGGTCCCCACGAAGCGCCACAGATTTTCCAAGACACCTCCGAGAGGCCTCCCACGAAATCTCTGATATATCTCTTGTTCACCGGGTGGCGGGATTGGCCGAAAGCCACTCGATATTGGCGCTCATGGCACCTGTTCCGAAAGATTCAAGCCTCGTGCTGCTGTGATCGCTGGTACGAAGCAGCCCTCACTTAGTCGTGGTGGCATGGCTGTAGTCCTGGCCCCGAAGTTGCAAGTGGGCGCTCGGTTGCCAGCAGAATGTGGCGCAGTAGGTGGATGGAGGAAGGGGAGGACGACGGCGAGGACACGTAGACGGGGATGGGGCGAAACTGAGACCCACAACAACACAAGATGCGTCGACGATGCTGCAATACACCCTCCCGCCGCACCCACCTCGCAAACATCCCTTCAACTCTTTCTTCCCAGGGAGCTCTCCCGTCAACGGCGACCTGCTTTGTGGACCTGCAGTTCAGACGATCGCCCCGTTTGGGACAGTAAGGGGGCAGGCTGAGATGCCGCGGACAGCTTCAGGAACTGGACGGGAGGAGGACGGGCCGACATGGGAGGACCAGGGCCAGCGAGAGGAGGAGTGCAGGCCAGGCGTGGAGAAGGAAGAGCGAGAGCATGTACGGTCGGAGAGCATACATGCGGGATGGCATGCCAGAGAGCACAATGCTCTCTCAAGGGACAGCGGCGCTCAACCAGCAAGGGGACATAGAGGGGTGTTCGGAGATCAGGGCACCAGTGACTTTAGTGAGTGAGCATGCAATGAGGAGGGGCCAAACAGAGAGAGAGAGAGAGAGAGAGAGAGCAAGACAGAGAGAGAGAGAGGAATAACAATCAGAAAGAGAGACAGAAAGAGAGAGAGAGAGAGACAAAGAGAGATACTTGCGAAAACGAACGCTAATGTGGTAACGGAACCCTCTTTCAGAGAAGCCGCAGGGGACCGGCCATAGCGCCACCTCGCCGTCGGTGAGGTCGTAAACGAGCTCGGGTGCCCAGGCATGAACCTTCGAGGCGGGCTCCCCCCCATCCAGGAACAGGAGGAAGGCCAACCAAAGGCGCCTAACTTCGCGCTTCGCGCTGGGGAACAACTTTGCGCTCTCGCGCCGCCCCCCCGGGGGAGAAGAAGAGGCTGAGGAAGAATCGGAGCCGAACCGCGAAGCGCGAATAACTTCGCGCCCTCGAGGGCGCTTCTGACCCCCCCCCCACTCCAGGAGCGGGAGGAGGGCCAGCGCGGATGCAAGGGGGAGGGCCGAAGCACCATGTTCGGTTCCCCCGCATGCGGCAGCGACAGCGGCCCACTCGTGCCCCCCACCCAGCACCATCCTGGCGCGCCGATGGGCGTCGTGCCATGCAAGCAGCTTGGGTCGGCGGCGAGCGAGGGGGGGAAGTGAGAAAGAGCAGGCCTTCTCAGAAGGCAGCGGGGCTTCTCGGAAGGAGTCGCGCCTTCTGAGAAGCTTTCAGTGTCTTCGGGGAAGGCTCAGGAAACTTCTCAGAAAGCCGAGGAACGTCCGAACCTTCTGAGAAGGCCTTCAACTTCTCACTTCCCTCCTGGGCTCGCCGCCGATTGCAGGCAGCTTGGGGGCTAGTGCCAGGGGGTGCGGGCCGCTCCACCTCTCTGGTGAGTCCAACAGCCTGCAGGTGGGAATCATCCCCAGGGGCGTCGCGAGGCTTGGCCGAGAAAACAGACTGATGGCATATTCCATCACCGACGCAGACAATCTCGATGCGTGGTCGCATCACATCATTCTGGCTACGCATGCTCTTCCTGCTCATGGGTAGAGTCCTCATCGGCCACTGGCGACAACTTTCGGCCCCTGTGAATTCAACGACGTGGTCCACGGTCGCAGACAAAGCTGGGAACTCCACTTCGCGCCTCCTGGCATGGTGGCCGAGAACCTGCCACAGGCTCCAGTACTTCTCTGATGGTCACCTCATCCCTGACGATGGTTGTAGGTACCATGCAAAGAGTACTTCGCAATCCCCATCCCTCCTCCTACTGCTCTTCCCCCTCCTCCTCCTCCTCCTCCTCCTCCTCCTCCTCCTCTCCTCCTCCTTCCCTCCGTTCCTCCCTCCCTCCCTCCCCCTGGTCCCTCCCTCCCTCCCTCCCCCTGCCCCCAACCTCCTGATCCGCCCTGTCCAACTCCCGCTTCTCGTCGTCGCCCTCCCTCCGCAATTTCCCTCCCCCTCCCCCTCTCCCTCGTCGTCGTCGAAGTCGCCGTCGTCGTTTTCCTCCTCCTCCTCATCCTCCTCCTCCTCCTCCTCTCCTCCTTTCCCCCCTCCCCCTTCCTCCCCCTCGTCCTCCTACCCCATCCTCGCTGCTCCCGCCTCCTGATGTTTCTCCTCCTCCTCCTCCTCCTCCTCCTCCTCACCCCCCTCCTTCACAATCACACAATATGAATACTACTCTCCTCTCCTGATGAAGTCCAGAAGATATTCGGCGTTACGCACAAGATTTCTGGGAAGGGTTTTCGCTTGGGCTTGTTTTCAAAATGTTGATCCCACTGAAGCGCTGGCCTCATTATCGGCCTTCCGCTCGTTCCGAATCGTGCTCTCGCTGCAACGCTGGCCTCATTTCCGCGCTTCCGCTCGTTCCGAATCGTGCTCCCGCTGCAGCCGGCCTCTTTTCCTGGTTTTCATATGTATGTTTGGCAATCCGATTTTTTCGGTCCTTCAAAACAATGCTCCCGCTGCAGCGCTGGCCCCATTTCTGCGCGTCTGGTTGTTCCGAAACATGCTACCGCTGCAGCGCGGGCGCTTTCGGCCCTTAATCAACCCCAAGTCTAGGAAATTACCCGCAGAAGAATACATCGCACGTGATTACACATCCGGTGCCGATTCGTTGAATTTTCGGGCGCAGAAGGCCCCCCCCACTTCGGGGCGGCGGCGCTTGGAGGAAGTATCAAGCGGGAGCTGCGTTTCTGCTTTCAGAAAGCGATGTTGCAAGCAGAGCTAGTGGGCGCTCTCCATCAGCCCCGCCTTGTAGGGAGCTTGTCGCGGAGCCCAGGAAGCTAAACATGGAGCCGCAACTCCAGACCTGCGCCGACCCTTCGAAGATTATCCACTTACCCTCCAAAGAACCCGGTGCCCTGCCATGACATGCTGTGCAGTGTTCTGTTCTGCGCCGCTGTGCGATGTCATGCTTTGCGATGCAATGCTCTGTGATGCAATGCTTCAATACGCAATGCTACGCCATGCTATGACATTATACGCTCTGCCGTGCAATTCTGCGCCATGCCATGCCGTGCTCTACGATGCATCGCGAACCCTCTCGCGATCATTGCCCTGCTCGACATCCGACTGTCTGAATAGAAAGGAAATCTACGCCATGGTAAGGGATGAGAGGGATGGGGTAGGACGTGAGATATGACGCGAGCGCACCTAGCTTGTCCTCCCCCCCTCCCCCTCCGCCCCTTCCCCAACCCCATCCTCCTCTTAGCCCGTCCTCGTGCTACCCCCCCTCCTGTTCCTCCCTGGGGGGGCAAGACTTTCGTTGCCCAGACCTCTCCCGACGTGCTTTCCGACCAGGACTTCGCGGCGAATCCAGCGATGGCGACGAGGGATCTTCAGGACGAGCAGCGGCATCGGCATCTGTTCGTCCTCTGACCCTCTGCCTTCCTCCTCCTCCTCCTCCTCCTCCTCCTGCTCCTCCTCTCCTTCTCGTCCTCCTTCTCCTCCTCCTTCTTCTCCTCCTGCTCCTCCTCCTCCTCCTCCTCCTCCTCCTCCTCCTCCTCCTCCTCCCCCTCCTCCCCCGACGACGACGACGACGACAACAACGGCGGCGGTGACGAACGGGTCCCGAGGGAAACGGGTCCCGGACCACGGCGCTTTCCACCGAAACCAGTCGTTAGCCCTCAGTCGTTTTGCACAAATCTAAGGGCCGGTAGCGGGCCCAGTGGGGCCCAAAACGTAGAAAAGCCTCAGGACCCATTTCCCGCAGGACCCGTTTGGTTCATGGCGAAACTAGAGGAACAAACCTCGTGTGGATTTCTTGGATCGGCGCCTGGGGCCCCAAACGCCGATGCAAGAGATCCGCGCGGAGCTCCAACAATTGATACGTACGCAATTGCTTATGATCCTTCTTCTCCTTCGTCTTCTTCTTCTTCGTCTTCTCTGCGGCGAGCCTGGGGGGGATCGAGAAGGGGCGGATCTTCTCGAAGGCTCGGCAGGCGTCCGGCCTTCTGAGAAGTTTTGCAAACCATCCCCACAAAGACACGGACAACAACTTCTCAGAAGGCCGAAGGGCTCCTGAGAATCCCCGCCACCCTCTGAGAAGGCCTCCTCCTGCTCACTTCCCCACCGGTCTCGCCGCCGACTCTTCTTCTTCCCAAGGCCACGCTAACGGCGGTGTCGGGAATATGATTTTCGCGACGGCGAATTCGCGCATAGCACAGTGTGGGAAACCACGAACAGCGCTCTCCTGCAATCGGGTTGGCCACGAGCCACCCCCACCCACAACACCGAAACCTGGATCGCCGATGCCGACATCGCCGTGAGCGTATATACGGTCTTCTTCTGTTTCTTCTTCTTCTTCTTCTGCTTCTTCTTCCTTCTTCTTCTGCTTCTTCTTCTCCTTCTATCTGAGAGAAAGAGAGAGAGAGAGAGAGAGAGAGACGGCGGCGACGCGCGTCTTCATCTGAGAGAGAGAGAGAGAGAGAGACGGCGGCGACGCGCGTCTTCTTCGAGAGAAGGCGGCAACGCGCGACGCGCGAGGCTGGGCCTCGGCGCCAGCCGCCGCCCCGACCCGGAGCAGCACCTCCGCCAGCGCGCCCGCCGCCGCCAGGTGCGGCAGGGCCGCCAGCAGGCAGGCCACGGCGCGCCGCGGCGGGCCGGCGGGGGCCAGGGCGGTCCTGCCGGCGGCGAGCCCGGGGGAGAAGTCCAAGTGGTGGGCTTGTTTTCCACCACCACCACCAGAAGGAGGTGGAGGGGGTCCTCGTCCTCCTCCTCCTCCTCCTCTTCGTCCTCCTCCTCATCCTCCACCTCCTTCCCCCCTCCAACTTATGGAGGTGGTGGTGGTGGAAAACAGGCCCATGACCAAGGCCACGCTGACGGCGATGATGGGAGTTTTGTTTTTGCGACGCCGGACTCGCGCAGAACAACTTGCAGGAAAACGCGAACAAGCCTTTCCTGCAACCGAGTTAGCCACGAAGAATCCCCACCTGCAATACCGAAACCTGCATCGCCGTCAGCGTGTCCGGAAAGGGAGCAGGAGAAAAAATTGTCAGAAGGCTCGGAAGTCCCCTGGCATAAGGATGAAGTTTTGAAACCTTCCCCAAAGATACCGAAATCCTCTCAGAAGGCCGGAGGGCTTCTGAAAAGCCCTGCCGCCTTCTGAGAAGGCATCATCCTTCTCACTTCTTCCCCTCGCTAGTTACAATGATCGTGCCACCACAGAGTTTTTCCCAACTAGCGCTGGGGTTCTAAGAGAGGTAAAAAAAACCCAAATCCGCCAACCACCATTGCGCCTCAAACTTCCGCACAATGTACACAGTCACATGCTTGCATAATTTCCGGAAAGGGTCCTATCCTGGTGGGGGGGGGGGGCGCGTTCCCCGGGTAACGGGAAAGCTTGGGCGGGGTGGCGCACGTCGGGGCGGGGGTGCACTGCGATCGCCAAAGTATGCGCGGGAGCACCAAGACACATGTGGTGGGGGGTCCAGCCCCCCCCCACGCACGATCCTGTTACCCGGAGGCGGGGGGGGGGAGGGGGGCTGAGGAGGAGGAGGAGGAGGAGGAGGAGGAGGAGGAGGAGGAGGAGGGGAACGACCGTTACAGGCCAGAGGAGAAGACAGCAAAACCACGGCACGCCGACTCAAGAACGAAGGCGCCTTTCCAGCCACGGCGGGACTCGGCCGCGAACCGGGTCCCCAATCTAGGCCTGAGGAGCGGTCCCGAAGCCAGAGCCCCTTACAGTCGACCCGTGCAGTAAGGATGCGCGATAAGGATGCAAGGGCCTTGGACGCCCAATTCGAAGCTCTTCGAGCGGGGCGCGGCCAACGAACGTGGCGAAGGATGGACCGAGGAAGGGTACCCTCGGGAAGGCCGCCCATCCTTATCATGCGGGTTGACTGTACCCACCATGATCATTGTATCAGCGTTCAGGCTGTAGGTACCTTTGCGGACACACTCCCCCCTTCAAGAGGGGCTGAGTCCAGACGAAGTAACTCCGTACCGAGACCGAGCACTTCGTGCGGACTTACTCCGAATGTACTTAGCCTCCTACCGGGAAGGGCTAATTTCAGACGGCGTGATTCCGTACGGAGACCGAACACTCCGTACGAACTCACTCCGAGGGCTCTCCAGGACAAGCAGCGGCATCGGGATCCTTTCCTCCTCCAATCCCCGCAGACGCCCCCCCACCCTCCCTACATACGAGAACGGCGCTCTTGCAGCGCACGATGTTTGGATTTCCTTCAGGCCCCGCTCCAACGCGGTACGGTGCAACATGTCTCGATTCTGCGGGCCAAAAAACTATGCACCGTACCGTTCTCGAGGCCTCCGGGATGGGGTCCGAGTAGATGGGGTCGGAGGATCGCGCCGCATCGCCAATGCATCGACGAAGCATCGGCGATGCATCGACGAAGCATCGGCGATGCATCGGCGACGTCGGCGATGCATCGGCGTGGAGAAATTTGGGATTTACATCGGGCCGGGTTGCCGATGCCTGTGCGATGCTTCGCGATCCTCTTAATTACCCCACCTGCTCGGACCCCATCTGGGATGCCTGGGCATTCCTGGGCCGAGGCTCGACGACACCTCGGGAGAGTCCAACGACTCCGGGCTGCCCCCTAGACGAGCCGAGGTCGAGGGGGGAGCGGCAGGAGGAGGAGGAGGAGGAGGAGGAGGGGGAGGGGGAGGAGGAG